ACCTTCCCTTTTTTTCATTACCCTACCCTATTCTCCTTTCCCCACCAAAAAGAACTCCACTCCTCCGTCTGACGAGAACCTACTATAAGATCTATAATTACCAAGATGTGAACATAGTTCATAGCATTTTCCCTATCAAAACTGAAATGACAGTCATAGAGAAAAGAGCTTAGTAATTTATTATGCTCCCTTATGATTGTCTATGTATTACGCACAATCGACTCAGTTTATTACGTATAATCTAGTAGGTGTGCAATCCTTGCTTCAGTACGTAACAGAACTCATGATAATAATATTATGCATTAGAGCAAGCGATAGGGAGAGGGAGAACCTTGTGTGGCTGTAAGCTAATGGCCACCCCGATAGATAGATAGATAGATAGATAGGTAGATAGATAGATAGATAGATAGATAGATAGATCGATAGATAGATAGATAGATAGATAGATAGATAGATAGATAGATAGATAGATAGATAGAGAGAGAGACATTGTTTTCCAAACTTTTGGTAACAGTAGTCTTAGATTGAGCTAAGAGAAGAAACAACACCACAGAAGTGACCATTTCGCTACCCTTGACTTACAAAGTCCTATCTGCTCAGTACCTAGATTTAAGAAATTTATCGTTAAAGATGTTGAGTTTCATAACATGTTTAAGCTTTTTCGAATGCTGTTCTTTCAACAATCTTGATAAAGTAAAGTAAAGTTGTTCCCTCGTCCGATCCGGACATTGGGTATTGCCTTGTTAGTGAGACAACTTCCTGGGCCTTCGGCATATTGTGGTAGGGTGGCCTATCTTGATAACAATTCCGAATACGGTTTTGATAGAGCAGATAGAACATTAATTGCTTTCTGACTTCATGGTCTTGGTAACTCGAAAGAGCCAACATTTTCAGATAGAACTTATTAATTCTAAGGCAGCGATTTATCATTATTGATGAGAACAATTAATTAATATAATCTAGATAGTTAGACTAACACAGCTCAGGGGAAAAAAATCCAGATTTACAGGTGGCGCGCACAAGGCACCCACTCCCTCACCATGGAATTGACAAAAAACATCTCCGATTTTTTTTTTTAGAAACTGATCACTACTATAATATCATTTGGCCCTTTGTACGAGATCTAGCTCATGCATCCTAGAATTTACTTACGATTGGTATTATAATTTTATTTCATGTTTATTCATTAGTAAGCTGTGTAGAAAGTTTTTCTCCATGTGATAACGTATTTAATTTGTTCCAAATATTATTATTATTACATCCCAATGTTTTAGAGAGAAATGTTTAACAGTATGTGTGTGTGTGTGGTGATTTGAAAATAATTGATTGATTGATTGATTGATAGATAGATAAAACGATTGATTGATTGGTTGATTGATAGATAAAATAATTGATTGATTGATTGATTGATTGGTTGGTTCATTGATTGATTGATTGATTGATTGATTGATTGATTGATTGATCCACGTTTTTTGATTGGTCGATGCATTAACTGACTGGTCAATTGACGGACTGCAAGATTGCAAATACTTAAATGGTTGCAATACAACTTTAAAGAAACAATGGAGATCATTTCGGAGGCTGGTTGCTGTAAGAGCAGACACGTCATGAACGAGTTACGAGTTTTTGTTTTGTTTTTGTTTTTTCAACAAAATTACCAATATTATGCAGGGAACAATATATAGGAAGAAGAGCGATAAATACAGTATATTATAAAATATAGTAGACAGATAGATAAATAGATAGATAGAGTGAAAAAGAGTGTAAGAGAGAAAGAGAGAGAAGGAGAAAGGGGAAAAATAGCGAGATGGAAAATAGAAATGAAAGTGTGGGAGATAACTTAAAAGATTGACATACTGACAGACCAGAAAGATAGATAAATAGACAGACAGACTGACAGACAAATAATTATCAGTTTCTGAAAATATCAGGTATTTTGGACAGGAACGATAGTAAGGGAGTAATAAAGCAAAACTTACTGGCCATTGGTAAAAAAAAATGTACAAATTGTTTTGAAAGCAACAATACACTTAAATATGACATGAATAAATTTTAAAAGCGCAAAAAAGTAAAAAATTCAATTAATATAACATGAATGAAAAGGAAACACCCAACGAAAAACTGAATGAATAAATAAACACATAAACAAACAAATAAAAAAATAAATTAATAAATAAATACTGAAATAAATATTTTAAATGAATTGATGAACCGATGTGATGAGTCCATGAATAGATGAAAAAATGAACAAATAAATTAGTTGAAAACTAACGAAATAAATAAACAATTCTGCCAAACAGAATTATTGTGTTCATTGTGCTCCTATTGAAAGATCCGTACGTGAAGAGAAGAAGTGTTCTTGTATTCTGCTGGCATGCAATGTTCTAACAAGATTAGCCACCCGTATTGATTTGATCAACTCTACGGAAGACAGTGTCTGCCTCCCTTATCAGAGGGGGATGTGTCCTTCTGAGGGGGTGTTGTTGAGGGGTGGGGGAGGGTGATGAGAGAGGGAGGATGGAGGAGGGGGAGGGCAGGAGAGGAGAATGGACGGGGGACGAGGTTGGGGTGGGGGGAGGGAGATGTTTTCAGGGCCACGAAGGCAATAGGGTCGATGTGGAACTAGAAAGGGGTTGGGAACTGTAGGGGGTGAGGGATGGACTTTGAACGACTGTTTGAATTTTTTTTTTTTTTTTTTTTTTTTTTTTACTTCTTTCAATCGGTGAGGTTTTCTCTTTCTTTCCACGTTTTATTTTCTATTTGCATTTTGGTATTCATCCATTCTTTTTGGGGTTTCTTTTTCTTTCTTTTTTTTTCTTTATTTTTAGCTTTGTGCCGTTTGTTAAAACAACTTCCGATTCTATGTTCTTTATATTCTTCATTTTGAGTTAAACCAAATACTTAATACTAGCCTAGATCTAGTTTCATGATCCGTTTTTGAGAGATTCATTAATTTGTTTCTATTTTTTTATTTAGTGTTCTTCCTATTGCATTATTTATTCTTGTTCGAATTGTTTGATTGCGTAATGACGATTTTTACTGACTTGTTTCTGTTTTTCTTAATTTATTTATTTGTTGTGTGTGTGTGTGTGTGTGTGTGTGTGTGTGTGTGTGTGTGTGTGTGTGTGTGTGTGTGTGTGTGTGTGTGTGTGTGTGTGTGTGTGTCTGTGTGTCTGTGTGTCTGTGTTCTGATGCCTTTCTTTATTGTAATTACTATTGTTTTGCTCATTTTCTGACTTCTTGGATTGCTTTCGTTTGTTTTGTTTTGGGGGCTGTTTTGGTTCTGATTTATGTGTGCCGGAGTGGTGGATGGGGGCAGGGGGGGGAGGGGGGAGTTGAGAAGGGGAGGGGATGTCTTTGATATCGTGACGAACGATGGACAGAAACGGGTGCCAAATATTTATGCTCTAATTCGCAAGTTCTGCTTTGCTTGATTGTGTTTTTCTGTGTGTTGTTTGATTGTTTGTGTACCTTTGTTATTGCTGTTGCTAGATTTAGCTTTCTTTGTTGCAGTTCATCTTTCGCAAAGTAGAAGCACTGTCTTTCGATTGTTTATCATTTCGAACACTAAAATTGGATTCTTATGTTAGACGCGGAGTTTTAATGTTTCAGCTGACAGTGATTGATTGCTTTGTGTGAATAATTTCTTGAAACAAGATGTCAAGATGTGGGAGGAAAGAGAGCAAAGTGGAAGAAAATGGTTGGATGGTTGGTTAGTAATGACACATAAATGAATTATTTTCGTCTCTTGATAGATTATTTTTAGCAGCAAAGTGTGAACACAGACCATACGTCAATTATACGGGAACTAACTGAGAGCTGAGTGGACTGGTTTCAGATACGATGACAAAGATTTTTAAAAGCTGAAGAAAATAAATAGTATGTGTGTATGTATTCAGTTATATACGAGAGAGAGAGAGAGAGAGAGAGAGAGAGAGAGAGAGAGAGAGAGAGAGAGTAATAGATCTGAGATTACAGAGAGAGAGAAAGAGAGTGGGAGAGAGAGAGAGAGAGAGAGAGAGAGACAGTGAGAGAGGAAAAGCGTATAAGAGAGAGAGAGAGAGAGAGAGAGAGAGAGAGAGAGAGAGAGAGAGAGAGAGAGAGAGAGAGTGAGAGAGAGAGAAAGTAAGAGAGACAGTAAAATCCTGAGAGAATCACAGCAAACGAACTATGTTCCATATTGTCTTTTTATATTGTTGTGTAACGAGACGTTTCTCACGGAGCGAATATGAAACAAGTTTAGCTGTGATTTAACTACTTGTGATTGGTACTACCAATGACGATTTTCCCATCTCATTGTTGCAGTACGTTCCCATTGTACTTATTATGTATCCATACCTCTCGTTCAATCGAGATCTGTATGAAGTCGTTTTCGCAACAGCCTCGTAATCCAGAGCCTTCGAGTTCCATCCTCGCATGAGTTCATTGTTCTTCAAGGAAGATTTCAATTCAGGTTAAGAAAATCTCAAGAAAATAATTTGCCATTCATCGCAAAAAGGCGAGACCAGTAAAGAAAAGGCAAGACTATTAGACAGAAAAGAAAAGATAACATATATATTTAGGAGGTTAGGGGCGACCTCCAACTTGCCTAACGAAAATGTGTGATTGCTACCCGTTTTAAAGAAGGTACAGCCTTCTGAATTCCTGATTAAAATGTGAGTAAAGAAGACGTTAAATGATTACAAACACTCCACAATCCGAGTTAGCGAAGTATCAATTCATTATTCATTATCTATTTGTTTCCCTGTTTTTTGTTTCCCTGTTTTTTGTTTGTCTTTAGTTGTTTGTTTTTTTGTATTTTAAGAGAACTCATATCATTTCTCACCTTCGACATGTCTTTCAGGTTGGTTTTTATCAGGTCACGGTAACCATATTGGCTTCAGTGAAGCCTTATCAGGGG